CTATGTGCGACTAGCTCATGATTCTCCTGACCCTTTCCCATGAACACTTGAGCTTGCCCATATGTGCTGCACATTTAGCTGAACAAGATGAAACAGCACCAGTTTTTCCTTTTTCAGCTGAAACAACACCGCTCCCACCGACTGCTTGCCAGAATGGTGGTGTCGTTGATCCCAACAAGAATTCGTCGTGTATCTGTCCACCCAACTACGGAGGGGATCAGTAAGTACCATTTCTGTGAACCCAGAGACTTCGATCACGTTATTGATTAATTGTATTTCGTTACAGTTGTGAAAATGCAATCTGTCAAAATGGAGGAACAAGCCTTGGAGCTTACTGTGCATGTGTTCCTGGAACGGGTGGAACTTTCTGCGAATTGTGTAAGCTCTTGAAGTTTGCAGTTTTTCTTTCTGATACCATCGATAAGCTTCTTCTTTTGCACCATTGGAATGGAGGGAAATTTCCTGTGATTGGTCAGAGTGACTCAAAGTGAGCCATGCCCCAATCACAGGCGAGCTATGCACGCGCTCACCGAAATCTGCTCAGAGCCGAACATTCTGAAAGAAGCAATGCTCAAAAATGATTTCAGATGCGTGTACTGATACAAAGTTATACCCAAGAATCTCATTCGGTGGCCAATCAATGTCGTTCGTCCTCTCGGCTCGTCCAACGATGCAAGCAGCCATTTCCTCCATTGCTGCTGGAATCACTGATTTTGTTCGAGATGTGCAGGATTCGTCTGCTGACTGGATCGTCTCCTGGAACCTTATCGTAGTCAATAATCTCGGTAAGCTCGTCTGACGGCCTCCTGTGACCTCTCATTACCAGTTCTCTTTAGCGGCTTCCATGGTATACACTGGAGATAATCCTAACGATTTTGTTATGAATGTCAAAGCAGTAGCGGCGAATCTTAACAACTATACCACACCTGATGCTACGGTATTACAACTTTTCAATGGTGTTCCACTCAGACGAGGTTTCATCTCTCTTCCAGAACTGTTCTGTGGCGATCGAATCCGGCCTACTCTTGGCTACTTACTACTCTGAACCTCGTTCATCCGTGTATCTGTTCGCAGATTCCGATGGACCTGACACCGATTCCTTTATAACCTTGTATTCTCATGCTACAGAATATCAAATATCAGTGAGTTGCAAAGTTATAGTAGAGGGTTACAGTAATGCTCTGCCTCTTCCTTAGGAGTCAATGAACCCAGCTTCATGCTTATTTTACATTTTGCAGTTGAACTTGGTTGGTGTGGGTAATACGATTTGCACGGATCCAAAAAATAATGGTCAGTTCCCGGACTATCTCCAAAGCCTCTCCTCGATGACGTCTGGTTTTGTCTACATGACGCCACAAGTGGATAAGGTAAGGTAGACTGAAAGGCATTGTTTACATTGATTGTATGGGCGGAGTCATGGTGTCGTTGTGCCTCTTCAGTGGTGCGCTATTTTCTCTAGGACTGTGAAGAGGAGCGGCGAACCAATGAGCGAGGTGCATAGTAGATTTGACCACGCCCACAAGAACTGTGTCCAAGCTCATTTTTGGTTCCACATGGTCCATTCTTTCTGGTCGCAAGGTGGTGCGCTGAATTTCTTTGGCGCGCAGTTGCAGCGCGTCTGCCTCGGAACCATAATATGGAATGTACACCACCGCTGCTTGTTACATGCCTCATATAAAGGCCCCAGATCTCAACTGGGATTATAGTGGTTGAAGGGTCAATATCAGCCATTTTTCGCTCGTGCAATAGGCCTGATGGCCGAGGCACGGTGCCGGACCATCAGGCCCATAGCACGGTCATAAAAGTAAAGTACGTTTCACGAGTTACTGAAAAGACTCCTAAACTATATTCAGATGCTGCCATTCATCTCGTCATTCTACAAATCTGGCCTAGCCTCTCGAGTGTACTTCGAAGATTGCTCCAAGGGTGTTAGCTACTATGTTCCAATAGACTCGTCAACTGAGTCCTTCACATTGGGTAGGTCTCTTGATCGCCAGGTCTCTGGGGTGGGCCTCAAGAAGCCCGTTGGCTTAAACACCTCAATACAAAATGTAAATTGAAAAAGTCACAGTTTTCATGATTCGGATCATTTAGTCATGCTTTGCTTCGGGAAAGGGGGATATATCTGATTTGTTCTTTTAGCTGTTTTTCGTTGGGCCCAGGCCATGAAACAAGCGCATCCCTTCGTCTCCCGCAGTAGGTTCAAAGAAGCTTTCGGCCCGGGTAGTGTGCTGCGTAGGTTCCGTTACACTATCGGGTCATGTAGCTTCTCTTAGCTTCAAGTGCTCTTTTCACGATAACCCGTCGCAAAAATGTTAGGTGACAGGATAGCAAAGCAAGAATGCGAGCCAACTGACTTACCGGTATGGGAAAAAACCTTTGGAAACCGCCGGTAACGTCCCCAGTAACGCCGCCTATTTCTTAGTCAACAGGAAGAGATTCGCTGGAACTTCGTTCAGGAGACCAGAGAAGAGCGAGGGAGCGAATAGACGCACGAAAAGTTGGCACCAACGCAGGGCAGGGTCACTTCGTCACTCTGGTAGAGCCACTTGAGCTACGTTGCGAATAAACGCCTCTACCTCATATCTTTCTGAAGCGAAACTGGTGGTATGTTGCCTTAGCTATGGTTGTTCAAAAAAGGTCCTTCTGCAACCTCCGCCGCTTTTGCAGAACACTCTGCACCAGCGCAATGCACAGACAAGACCGCGGCAGTATCGCGGCAGTAGAGAAGTCGTACTGGACCGCGGAATTCATGACAGTTCTTACTGAAAAAAAAACAAAAGTGGGCTCGGTAGGGAGGCTCTGTTTTTGTACGGAGGGGGGGGGATGGCGTAGCGGATACGGCCGTTATTCCATCGCACTGTTGTGCCTTGCTACAGAGGGGAATCCACATGGCTGATGCTTCTGATGAATTTTTGGGTAGGTCCACAATGCAAAAGTTTCATAGCCTAAATATTGAGCTCCTATTTTTCTTTATTCACTTAAGATGAATATTTTCAGCCGTAGGTGGACGCAATCTCACTAGTGTTGTCGTTACTCTACCAGATGGCTCGCCGGGTCTCTACAACATGCTCTCAGTCCCACTGATCGATGATCCAGAACTAAACATTCAACAGTTCATTCAAGGTTTGAAATTACGTATTGGCCAGTCGATTGTTGTGGGTCAAGAGATCCGATTCCCGGACAACGTGGAGTTTTACGTGACGGCATTAGCACTAGGACCTATTTGTTTGACGCAAAATACACGAGTTGACTAGCTATGAACATGCAGCGCGCTGAGTCATAGTCTACGTGTAACCTCAACTCTGACGTCCTGATCCTCACACCTGACCGTTTCCCTTGTCTTATTTTATTACAACAAGTTCTCTGCAAGGTACACCTTCTATAGCAGTACGCTTTCAGCATGCGATGGTTTCCAGTGGAACTACAAAGATCGCTTTCAGCATGCGATGGTTTCCAATGGAACTACAAAGATCAGTACTGCTACCGATTCTCTCCAGAAAAGGTAAGTGCTCAAAAGCATGGTTACAATAAACATACGTTGCTTTTACTAAGATAATACCATAGCAATAGGTTTCAGCTTACATGGCTGAAAGCAAACCAGTTCTGTCACAGCATTGGAGGTTACATGGTCGATGTGCACAGTCAAGCTAAAGACGATTACATAAAAGGTATATCAGACGAAATTTCCACTTTGAGAATATCGTACCTCACTGGAAGGCAAGACGTCCAGTCAGGACCCGCTTGAGCTGGGGTATCTAGGCAGGATGCAGAATCGTTGGGAGAGAGAATCTCCAGGGCTGGTACTTGGTTGCTGACAAGGGGAGTCGTATTTGCTGGGTGGGGGTCGCGTCTGGTCCTGCACCCGTCCCTTAGTCGCTGATGCCGCAAAACTACTGTATAACTACTGTTTCTGATTGTTGATTTTGGTGTTGCTCGGTGGAAACCTTCCACCCGCCCCTCCCCATCTCTACTTGTTTGCGGAAAGCTGGAGCTGGCTGTTTTCAGAAAAATGGTCGGGACTTGAAAGATTTCGGAAGACATTAACTATAATAGTATGGGGAAGCTGTACTGTGGTGTACTCTGGAGGAGTCCCGAGGATCCCATGAGGAGGGGGTCGTACTGGCAGCGCCATTTCCCAC